GTTCTCTTTCCATTTTTTTAATGAGAAATGTAACTGATATGTAAGCCTAGTTTGAGACAAATTGTCCTTCACTATTCATACAGATATGAAGGCGCTGTTGAACAGAACGACATACTTTGCGACACATTTCTTCTGGTATCTGTTCACATGCTTCTTCGATTCTCTGTTTAAGCTTTTGAATGGAAGTAAGTGGCTGTTTAAACACGGTGTCTTTCAAATATCCCCAGAGGAAAAAGTCACATGGAGATCTCCATGTGACTTTTTTCTCTGGGGATATTTTGAACGGATACCAGAAGAAATGTGTCGCAAAGGCTTTGCGACATATTTCTTCTGGTATCTGTTCAAAATATATGATGATAATTGTAGCTCTTTAGACGGTATAAAATCATTTGAATATAATAGATATTGTTCATTTTCAATTTGACATTATTTATAGACATCTGATATTGTTGAATTCATTAAAAATGTTTATAATTTTTTTTGTTTTTACAATTTTTACTTAATTTTTCAACTGAAAGTAAACATGTTTCATCTTCTTTAACAAGTAAAAGTTTTGTTTCACATAAATTCGAAACAATTTCTTGATTATTTTTAATTATTTGATGTGGATTCATCGTTGTCAAATATTTATATTCATTACTTGTTGCTGTTGTTGTCATAGAAAATTTTGTTAATAATTCTGTAATTGTTATATTTCTATTGGATATTGGTACTTCAACAGTTTGGTTAACGACATAGTATGTCGTTCTGTTCAACAGCGCCTTCATATCTGTATGAATAGTGAAGGACAATTTGTCTCAAACTAGGCTTACATATCAGTTACATTTCTCATTAAATAAATAAAAGAATATACTATAGCATCAGCATATAACTATGAGAAAAAACCTCGTTGTAAAGTTTACTTATAGCGTCAAAAAAATTGTTTGTTTTATGTTCATAAATGGCCGGTTTTGTGATGAATAGACACTTCTATCCGCTTACTATACTCAGAAAAAAATCAGTTCATTTGGGTAAAGAATGACGAAAACATTGAACATTTTCTAACTCTAAGGACTTTACGGACACCCTATAGATTTAGAAACGAGATAAGTCTGTCACTTTAATGCAAACTAATTTTTGCATTTCACGCCTGAAACAACTTCTACTTATTTTCGATCTTTTCATTGTGAAACACGTTCCCATGTAAAATTTTATATGTCTCAAACGCGTTTGGTGTTGCTGGCAGATAGATGCCTCTGAACGTGTCCAGAATGGAACATCTGGATACATCAAAACGCTCCGGGAACGCGTCTATAACTAGATGCGTTAGGATGCATCCAGATGTTTCATTCTGAATACGTTCAAACGTGCGTTTGTACGTTTCTAGGAAGAACACTCGATTGAACATATTTTTTCAAACGCAAATATTCCCATGGGTTTTCAAGTAAAAATAAACACGTGCAAACGACTATTTACCGATCGTTCTCCAATGCGGTTTTTGCCCCATTTCGAACGATTTTTCTTTTACTTGACTTGTCGAGGTTTCTATAGTGATATCACGTTTACCGTAAAAAAGTGCAAGCAATCTCCAAATCTATGTACATTAACAGTAATCATCGACTGCACAATTCAGCAAACTTTTGATAATATCATAAGAGTAAAAGTTTCTATAATATGTTCATTTATCATTACTATAAGCGGAAACCTTTAGACAAGGATTTTTTAGATAATGGAATTAGGAGTACAAAAAGAACGGTTGCTATTCATGGTTATATTTGGAGTTCATAGAGAACGATTAGAATAATGAAATTAAAAAAATGGAAAGAGAACGATCCTATTAATTAATTATTTGCTGTTTGCCAATATATTAGAATAATAAATGATGACTTACGTACAACGGTCACGCAAATTTTGAAGCGAAAACGCAGAAGGACGTTTTTTTTGTACTATAATAGTCGACAAAAACTTTCACTCATTATGAAGTTGTTCCAGAATGAGTGATTGATACCGCTCGACCAATGTGTGTTTCTGATATACCAATGGCTACATATGTGATTATATCATTGCAAACAGGAGAATGGGCTAGTTGCAGCTAGATCCTCTTTCAACATGGTTGTGTTCGTTAGATCTTGGCAGTTGAAATGTTTCATCTTCTTCATTCTCTTGTATTGCTTATGATTGAATATCATGTAATGAAAATTTCTGTATGAAGCACGCCGGTACACTATCAAAAAAAAGTGTCTTGATAAACCATTCGGCTGGCTTATAAATGCTTCCACAGTGCGTTTTGAAGGCACGCTAGGTGCATTTTCTCATCTTTTTACTCTCAGGCGTCTTAATGTCTTCGAAAAAACACCTCTAAGTTGTTGCTGTTTTGGAAAAAAATAACTTAGGTGCATTTGATAGACATCACTAATATATCAGAAACGCACAATGCACTATCTACAGTCAAGATCCTTATTTAGATATGATTTCAATTTATTATTCCCTACAATGTGTTTATCAGTTTTTTATCTGATTCAATATAAACGTTTCATCTTATTCTACTGTATGTAATTGAGTCATTTTTAGTTTGTTAACCGCCTTATTTTTAATCTGTTGTTGCCTATTTAATTCTGTCACATGTCAAAATAAAATGTTTTTCGTAGTAGCCTACCGTTAAAAGGCTAATCCCGGCATATTTAATGCATCGTCAATGTCTTAAGAACATCAGAATGTCTTACTATATGCATAAAAAAATGCATTTGATTTACACGGGAAACGATATCCAAAATGCGTTGACTCAACATCCACGATGTCTCACGAAGATACTACGGGTGCACAAAATTGGACTCCAGCCGCTTCGTAAGGTATCGTAGCGCGTCTTTAACATGGAAATTTCATCTTACTGATAAAAAATCAAGTCACCTCTGACTCGCATTTTTTTTCGAAAATGCACATCTTTTTTCACAACGTGTATGTATATCTGTTGTCATTTCTACTTAATTCCCTTCAAAATCTAAATACTTTATTTTCTAGTATGAATCATTAAGTTCAGCTTGCGTATTGCAAATCTGCAATCGTTTGCATCGTTTGCGTATTGTAAATCTGCTGTTGTCTACGCATCATTTTGTTGAGAAAATAGTTGTTGTACTATTTATGTATTGATATGTAAAATATGAAAAATTCTATTTTAGTACGTATAAAATGAAAAATCAAAATCGTTCTCTCTCACCAGTGTAAAAACTAAAATTTGCACTTCGTTCTCTTTTCGTATTTTTTCTAAAACCTTCATGTAAACTATAACGATACTATTTGGATGGACTTATATCTAGAAACAGCAAAAATGCGTGCGTAATAGACAAATAATGATAGTCAGAAATATGAAGTTGAACGATCGTTTTCTTTAAAGTTTTTCAAAAATAAAAATATCTATCTATATATTACTTACGTTGACTAGGATGTACGACTAAATGGAAGTGTTTTTCATGCAACTAACAGTAGTTTAAATTGATTTAAAAAAAAATAAACTATTTTCATAAGATTTTCAAACGTTTTTAATGGACATAGAGATACTTGAATGTTTAAATAAGAAATAAATTCATTGTTAAAACGAGTATCTACGCGACTGGTTTTTTTATCTTGCACAGTTGGAGACCGCTTTCTTTTATTTCAATATTTTATTTGTCTGTTTAAGTTGTTTTCATCGATTCATTAATTTAATGAGTTACAGTTTTCATCTCTATGATACTAAAATCGATACATCTATCATCGCCTACCTGATCTAAAGTGGTGGAAAAAAGTTTAAAAAGAACCTTTTTTTGTTTCTTTCTCTGAGTATTAATTCTCTAGAAAGTTGTGATGATTTATATGTGTATCAAGGACGTATGCCACCCATGTAAAAATTTTATGTCTAACATACGTTTAGTGTTGCTGACAGATGTGTTTGAATGCGTTCCGAATGAAACATCTGAACGGATTGAAACACGCCTGGAACGCATTGTCATCAGACGCGTTTGGATGCGTCCATATGTTTTTTAAGTTGCTAGAAAAAGAAAGGGGCCGGAACGCGGTTTTTCAAATGCAAATATTCACATAGACAATGTGGTCTTTGTTAAAATAAATCGTAGTCTTCTGTCTTCTTTGCTTGAAAACTTGTTCGTGCTGAGAAAAAATGTTTAGAAAATATTCTACCTATTTTATTTTATTCTTGTTACTCTAACGTCTTTGGTATGTTTCAAAACTTGAAAATAGCATAAATCAAACGAAGAAAAGCTTCACGTTTTATCTAAATGTCATAAAATTCATATCGCAGACGATTTTAAGCTTTTAAAAATTAATTCAGTTTAACACCAAGAGTAACTCTTAGACATACTATTAGAATGGGCGCAAAAGATGAGTATGCCCATTATCTTCCCTTCCACACAACGTTTCGATTTTCCGTTATGTTTTCTGGAAAGTTTCTCTAAAATTGCTTTTGCAAATCTAATATTCGATTATCTTACCGTATATGCTGGAAGTTCAAACACTTGTACGTAACGTTATAGTGGAGGACACATCGTCTGCAAAATATACATTATTCTCCCCGAGCTCCACAACGTTTCCTGGAAACGTTCTAAAGCTTTCTTTCAATGTTTAAAAAGACTATTTCAGGTCATTTTCTTATATATCGCGGAGAGCATGAAGCGTAGTTCTAATAAAACTATTGCATTGTTTCGAAAGACCGTCGTACAAAGACGCGATATGTCAGTATGTATTGATAGAGGATAATGCCTCAAATGGAACATAACTGACATTTAATAAGCCGTGTAATGCGTTTTAAATGTATGCCAAGAAAACCGGCTTTTAACACCCAAATAACTGTAAAAAAAACTGTTACATAACAGTCAGTCTATTGTCTGTTATATGATTGTTGATAAAGGCTCGAGAAAAGGCATTTAACATACCGCAAAATGTTGAAAAAATCAGGCAGTTAACAGTCACTGTTTACTGTAAATTTTTTGGCTGTTATAATGGCAAAAAACAGGCATTTAACTGTGCACTCTAAAATGTAAAATAACTGTCACAGTTAAATGGCTATTAATTGACCACTCTTCAATTGCAAAATATACAGCGAAAAAACTGACATTTAAAATGGCAGTTTCATTAACCGTTTATTTTGCAAACATGACTGGTGTATTATATATATATGTATATATATCACTGAAATTTGCAACTTTTCCTTTTCTCCGATTGTACGAATCATCGAAACTTGTCTGGTGGAAGTCGCCGCTAGTTCTGTATCTGGACCGTGGATCTAAGGAACCAAAAATGTCAACAATTTTGAAAATCACTATATTTGGGGTACTAATCAAAGAAAACGTTCGATAACTGACCGTTAACGGCCAGTAATGGTGCAAAAACGGCTATTACATGATGCTATCTAATAACTGCCTATTTTCGGACAGTTTTCAGCGTGTTCATTTTAAGGCATTAAAACGTTCTCATTTATAAGGTGTAAAGATGACTATTTAATGACTATTTAGCTAGCATTTAATAGACAGTTAATTACACCATTTTCGACGTCCTGGAATGTGTTCCCTAATATAGCGATATAACGTGAAGTACAAGTGTTTGATCTTTCAACATATACGATAAGAAAGTCAACCGCTAGTTTATTAAAAGTGACTTTGAAGAAAACTTCTAGAAAAGAAATAGAGTTCGAAGTTCGAACACATGAGATGTGTAACGTTAAGAACAATAGGATTTCCGCGTTGATACTACCTTAGGAAATGTACTTGATGTATGTACTCTATTACTTGCCGAGTACGTGACAAGTTTCCTCACTTGACAGTTCCCTCGTACTTGACAAGTTTCTTCACTAAGTAAGTACTTAAACAAGAACTTGGGAATGTTTTTAGTTTCCAAGATCTGGCCTACGTACTCACCAAGTATCGTCACTTGATTCGTTTCAGCCAAGTACATAGGCGAGCCAATCACTCTTTTGCTTTACATTGACAAGTTGTACATGAACGCCACAATATCGTTCAGTATAAACTTAGAAAATAAATGTAGATGTTTCTACTGGGTTGAACAAACTTGGTACACAGTTCTCGGATCGAGCCAGGTACGGGTACAAAGTTGTCGGATCGGGTCAGGTACGATTACGAAAATGGTACCCGTGCACATCTCTACATGAGAATTACGGCTTGAAATTAATTTGAAAGAACTTTCATAGTCTTGTGTGGGAAAATAAATGAAAAGCTGTATGTTCTGGAGAGCTCGGAGACGTCTTATATTCCTCAGAAATTTTTACTCTATTTAACTAAATTAACTAGTCTATTAACACAAAACTACCTATAAGAGAAGCTGTAAGATACCTACAAATAGGACACTGGGTTTTCCCGAAATCCTGGTTTGTAAACATTTTGAGGAAATTCTTGTGTATACCTCATCGAATAGAAAAATGTTTCAGCTGATCAAAGCATTCTTTGGTATTGTTTTAGTTGATGTGATTGACAAAAATAGTCAAAAAACGAAAAAGCTCAAACTTTTGTGATTACTTGAAGCAACAATCATCATAGTTGTACAGTATTTAGTGTAGAAATGTATGAAGGTATACGTTTATAAGAATCCAATGTATTTCAGTTTGAAGCTCTTTATTTCCTGCATTTTCTTATATGAGAGTCATTCAGGGTCTCGCTATATTTACAGCACTGTACTTCGTTCACTGTTCTGTCATAGGTTAAAACCCAAGAGGGAAATTGCGGACTTTATAGACTTGAGCGGACTTTAAAGTCCTCTCAGATCTTTTAAAGTTCCCGAAGTGCGCCGACTTGAGCGAACTTTGGGGACTTTGAAGTCCGACAAAGTTCGGTAAAGTCTCCGTAAGTCCGATCAAGTGCGCTCAATTATAAAGTCCGCAGTTTCTCCCTTGTCAAAACTACTGTTGCTGTGTGATATATACTATATTTACTTTGCCAATAAATCTGTTAAACTTAAGATTTGAAACACCGTACTATAGCTTATTTTGTAGCTCTCTCGATTCTCCATTTTTCTAAAATAAAACTATTCCTAATTTCTATTTGTGAAAGAAACTGTAATTGTTTTTCCATACCACTATGGGTAAAAATCGAGATATCTATCCAGTATTTAGCCAATAAATCTATGAGGGCAACTCTTTTAAACCAAAATATTGTAGTTCATTTTGAAGCCTGAAACATTCTCTATTTTTTCATATGTGGGCTTTGGTCAAGGTCTTCGAAATCGTACGAAAAATTTGAGAAACAAGGTGAATGGCCTTCGTTGAACTGGCGACGAAAAATGATAAGAAATATTTTTTTTTCAAGAAGATCAGAAGCAGTTTTTGAAAGTCAGAAGTGTTGGAAAGCGAAAAAGGAAGCAATTCCGATCGCTTTCACTCAAAATCATATTGATCCATTTTCTTGCAGAAACTGTTTCTCGTCCTTTACTTTTACATAAAGATGATCTACTTCGCAAGTAAGACGAAAAGATGCGACCTCTTCTTGGCTGTTCTTATAACTCTGCCAAAAATCTTTGTTCTCTAGACAATTTAAATCCCACTTTATTAATAACAGTTTTTTCAGTATAAAATTTCTTTTGTGGAACCTCCTACGTGTTTGTTCAATTTACAAATTATCGGACAGCTATCTTGACCAGAATTATCTTATTTCAATCACTTTACCAGGTTCCAGCTTTTTAGTTTAATACTCAAAATCATATTGGGACATTTGCTTGCAGAAACCGTTTCTCATCGTTTACAACAATACAAAAGAATTTTCTAATTAGTACTTTGAGTTTTTATAATATCTCTTAGAGTTCATCGCTTTTTGAATACTGATCTTATTCACTAGATGTTCGTGTCTTGAAAACAACGAAGAATCAAATACATCATTTGTAAATCAAATATTCATCTACAATCAAAATAAATCTTTTTATATAATTATCGATACTTCGATCGATATTTATCCAATTTAGTTTTATTCGACTCCCATACATAGAAGTTTACTTTCTCGTCTCCTTTAGAAATGATTGTTAAAACTACCTAGTGAACGGAACAATAACAGAATGAACGCAACTAAAATAAAGTAGTTTTTTGTCCTCAGGAAAATAAAAGGAAGAAGGCACAATAATCCATATTTCATTGAACATCAACCGAGACTGTTTTACAATTACGGTCTCTACACTTTGTATAACTCTTGACAGTTTTCTTCTTTTTTTAATACTATTGTTGAGTGAAGCTTTGTAAAGTCAAAAAACATTTTCTGCAAGTTTTCTCTGAAAATAAACATATATTATGCATTAATTCGAAGTAATTCTATACCACTGCTCCTAAATAAATTATACAAATATCTCAAACATTTTTTTTGATAACATTTTCAAACAAAAAAATTTGTCAATTCTTTTTTTTTCTTCTTTCTTGTACACTTCAAGTCACACGTGCCTGAACATTCTCTCTCCCGATAAATTTATCTCTTTCGTCATTTTTTGTCATAAAATTCTCTATCAAGTTTATTTTATAGTTTCTCTTTTGTTACAAGGTCAGAAATAGCGTCGTGATTCAAAGGAATGAAAAAAGTTCTCCATGCAAAATAAGAAACATGGTACAATGAAATGTTTGATGAAATGAGAGCGAAAAGGTGAGTAACAGAAGACTTATTTTATTCCGTTCTTTACTGTTATAGTCGAGGAAATACAAAGAATAATCATAATAGTCGTTGTTACGTATAGGTTATCAACAATAAAAAAAAAAAGGAATGAAATATTTCTTTCAGGTAAAAGCGAATAAAAACCCATATTTGTAGACATCTTTTTGTTCTTTTGTATCTATGGTGTGTACAGGCAGTATGATCCATGGCTCATGTCTTGCAGAAATTGAAAATCTACACAAGTTCTTTAAAGAATCTGCTTCTTGCAAAATTCTCGATCAAAATCTTGATCAGGATTCACTACAACTCGGAGTTTAAGGATTCTATATCAAGATCTTGAAAAGATTTAATAGAGAAAGTTCTATTTGTTGTTCTCTCTATCACCATTTTTATTTTGCAGTACTCATATATACACAAGAAACACTACTCGCACTGTAAATAAATGAAAAGTTATCAAGTGTATTATACGGACATAAAGTTTGATTAAACAACTCCGGTATTATCTGAATTGTAAGAGCTGTAAATTTAGCAGTACTATTAGTATAGTACTGCAAAGCTAGCGCTGTAGAATGCAGTAGATAAAAATTAAAAATAAATAACTGAAAATAATGCCATATGAAACCAAAAAACTATTCAAGATTTTATGAAGATTCTGTGCAGATATCGACAATCTGTCAAGATTCTGACTAATTAATCAATAGTTAATTAATTAATTTCTCAGAATTAGTTACAAATCTTGATCAAGTTTTTTCAAGGCAGATTCTTTAACAAAAATTGTCAAAATCATAATTTTAAAAATAAACCCCTGAGGAATGTTGTCAACCTTGTAAAATATCTTTAGTTCACAGAATGAAAGAAAATCAATTTTTGATTGAAAGGCGGTAAAGTCCTCATACAATGTTTTGGTTTAATTTAGTACTTCTACCGAAACTAACAGCATGTGATTTGATTTCATGCTTAGATGAAAATGTTTTGCCCGCTGTAGATTCATTACATGTGTTTCAATACTTTTGTAAAATATTTTATTTTCGAAAGCATCATGTAACAACTGAAGCTGCTTCAGTTGAATATACTGCCATTTAGCCATAAAAGTTTTTTGTGGAAAGTTCTTTGTCTAAATTCGCCTGATAAACCCGATTATCGAGTCATTATTATTTTAGCATGGACGATCATGAGCCTGTAAAAAGTAGTAGTCATTTAAAACCAAAAGATTCAATTCGCTGTTTAGTCGTTGGAGATGGAGCTGTTGGTAAGGATATCTTGAAATCTACTTAAAACTATTATATTCACAAAAAATATTTTAATTTCTTGTAGGAAAAACTTGCTTGTTGCATGTCTATGTAAATGGTATGTTAGTGTATTGTTTTTTTTCGAAAAACTATACAGTTTTCGTATTTATTTATACTTCTCTATAATTATAGGCACATTTCCGGAAACTTACGAACCAACTGTATTCGACAATTATGCGGTCTCAATCAAACATAATAAAAAACATTATAACATGGAACTCTATGACTCTGCTGGTAAATTATTTTTTCTTTCCAAGATATTAGGAGCTCTTCATATGCCTTTCTATGTAAATATTCGCTTCTGCATTGACATCAAGTTTTCAAGAGCTACAAAGAATTAGTTAGTCGGTCTAAAAAGTTAAAAAAACATACTATAATGATGATAGTCTATCTAATAGTCATAAATAAAGTTAGTTGAAGTTTTTTCTTAATAAGCAGATAGAATATGCTACGTGAAAGCAATAGATTGTACACTGTATTTGCAGAGTTGTAAATGACATTGAATTGAATAGTTTGTCATTCTTGTTTCTAGAGACTAATTTTAGTCTTTTTAGGTCAAGAAGAATGGGATCAACTGAGAATGATGATGTATCCTCAAACAAATGTATTTCTTGTTTGTTATTCATGTGTTCAACCGTCCAGCTTTGATAATGTCGAAAAAAAATGGATACCTGAACTTCAACAATATGCACCAAAAGCTCTTATTATACTTGTTTGTACAATGATCGATCTACGTAGTAATCGAGAACATATTGAACGTTTAAAAACTGTCGAAAAAACTCATCCAATTAATCAACAACAAGGTATGAATTTAGCACGAAAAACAAATTGTGATGGTTTTATTGAATGTTCATCCATTATACAATTTAATGTCAATGATGTTTTTACTACTGTTGTTAGTTTATTTCATAAAAAAGGTTATCGACGTCTGAAACGAAAATCTTCATCATCGGAACATCGAAAACTAGGCAATTCATGTAGAACTATTTGTTGTTGTACAAGTAGTAAACAGTCGACTATGGATGATGAATGATTTTTAATCGTTTGCAACTACTTACATTTACTGAACGTCAAGTATTCATTTTTGATTTAATGAAGTCAAAACGAGAGGCAAATGTTGTTGTTTTTTAACTTTGATATTATCCGTTCTTATATGTTGTTTTGTTTCGTTTATTGATACTTTTTTTCCCGGTGAAACGTTTTCTGCTGCCACTTTTACTTATTTGTTATTATTTATTTAATACAAACTTTGATGTACAGAATTATTCTATATGCTTTCAAGAAAAAAAGCTTTTGAAACAGTTGTTTTAATCCTAATTATAAAATTATGTCTATATAATGTTGAGAACAGTTTAAAACCTATTACTTATTGGCTAAATTATTTGCTGAAAATGACTGTTCAAAGCAATGTCCTGAAAGGATTTAAAATAATAAATTACTAACTCAAAAAGTGTTTTTACACTAGATTTTTGGTTTCTACAACATAGTAAAACGTGAAAAGAAAAAGAAAAAATGAATTTCATTGAAAAACTTTAAAAAGAATTTTTTTCGTAGAAAAATGTGCCACTTAACGTAAAACAAAATACCAAAACAATGTTTAACACGTTCAATGTCCAACAACAATTAAATGAATCATATATGACACATAAACAGTGAACGTGTTAAGATGAAAACGAGAAAAATGAGTAAAAATCAGCATTATTCATGATAGCATTCATATTCCATAATGGATTTATGCTTGATATCTGTGAATTAAGTCTAATACAATAGAGATAAAACTTCTGTTTCGCCATTTCTTCTTATATAGTTGTTTTATCGTCAACCGACAATTGAGCGACTCCGACATTAGACACTTTTCAATATGATTTTTGCCGATCAGGAAAGTCGAATGATTATTCACTTCGATAACGATGATGAGAACAATCTTTTTGTCGTCCGATTATGAACTGAATTATTTGGAGATCTGTAGAGGGTGAGGCTGTGTGGGGTAAGGGTGAGTGAGGGTGAGGGTGAGCAGCTATAAGTGATGCGCTTCGCTCAATTGTTGGAGTCCTTTAAATGCGGTCGCTCAAATGTCGGGGTCACTCAAGTGTAGGTCGCTCAAACATCGGTTAATTTTGTTTTATACTATCAGCCTACTCTGTAACACGTAATATGGTACTGGCATAATGTGAATTAATTTCTTCGATACATCACTCAGCTAAAAGCGTTCAATTAATCTTTACATACAAAATATATGCTGACGATCATGATAATGAACTACTGTGAAATATTTCTTGTGTGAGAATACAAGTTGCTAGCAATTAAGACGTGGCTGATGCATTCCACTGTGGAAAGTTAAATAGAGTTAGATCATCACATATTTCAAATTTTATCGTCGTTCACTATATATTTTGTTCGAATCATTCATTTATCGCACAATAAGAGGCAATGAATAGATGATAAGAAAGAACTTGAAACATTTTTTGATCAATTTCAAACTAATGCATTATTTTTATCATCAGTTATGAAATAATGTATCATCAACATTAACCGAAATATTAACTTTGAATTTTTATAAAAATCGAACAGGTAATGACTTACCATTGTCATTTGAGAATAGATAATTTGTTTGTGACATTCGCGTAATTGAATATCACAATTTTCTTATTCATGGAAATGGCTTGCACATAATAAGTAAGTTATGACTATTTTCGAATAATTTACGTGTTCACAATGATTTTGTGGATGACGTTCTCATATCACGCTTTTTTGTCATGAAAAAGTTCACGTTGTTTTAGATAGCGTTTTTTGATATCTGAAAAGTGAACATAAAATGGTTTAACAGAACGCAATCATCTAGTTTTGAGATGAGAACACTAATTAGCCCTTACTTTGAGAATCAAATTATGAAAATTGTTGTACAAATAAGAGTTATTATTAAGAATTTTAATTAGTATTTCACAATTTATACAGCTTTAGAATTTCTCAATTCGCAAAAACTATTATTGAAGAAGAAAAAAAAAGCTCGACTTTCAGAACGTTATTCGTTTACGTTCGATTAAGCATGCACTACAGTCAACGTATTTTCCTATTTCAATCTAATAATGATGCATAATCAAACTAAACTACTTTATATCAGACAAAAGACATACAACTCAACGTACAGAACAACAGATATGTTTCAACTAAAATCAATAACATAGCTACAAACACCACAAAAATCAAAGTTTTGAACAAGTTTGAACATGGAAAAATTGAGATGTTTTCGTGTACACACATTTAGTATTTGACTACATCGTTACACGCACAAAAACCGTTAATAAAATACAATACGATGAAAAAAAATCATCACATTTTATTGCTGTACATAAGTTCGTGTAGATAAGGAAATCTATGATAAGAGAGTCGACATCGAAAGATTAGAACTACTTGTATGACTATAACTTAATGCTGACGTATCTTGCACATTCGTAAATGGATTTCGACTAATCAAAATATCATCACGACCTTGAGTATTTTTCATGTACAATTTATTTTCATTACAGTTGATTAACATACAATAAAATGCTGATGGTAAATCATGAATATCCAAATGAAGATTTTGATTTTCAAATAAATTAACACAAACTTGAGCAAATTCAACTGGTTTGTTATTATCATCTGATGTTCCATTCATATTACTAACTGAACTTATATTATTAGAAGGTAATGATGCATCCGTACTACTGATCGTTTGCGATTGACGATGAATTTCATCTAACATTTCACGTTTCAATTGTTTAACATCTAGACGTTGTGCGCGTTTAGCATACTCAATTCGTTCATAATAAATAGGACGATCAACAACATAAACGTGATCATCTTGCGTTGCTTGGACACCTAAAACCAGAAAACAATCCTGTATTACATCAACTGAAATATTTTGCCGTAGTAACTTCAACTAAACTTTGATAATATAGAGGCTTTAAGCGTTCAAGTTGATTAGGAAGCCTACTTCATCTTGCGGTTATCGTTGAAGATGTACAATACTGATAAGTCGGACTTGCCAGTTTTAAGTGATCCAATACTCCATCTGTTTCCTGCAGCTCTGAATAGATGGCGAGTCTGAAGTAAGTTATCATCAAGTGGGTGGAACAAGGTAAGTACATGACTTGTTAAGGTCGCGATTCTCTGAAGTACGCGTCAAACAACGCAATCGCTAAGCCATATTCTCCTTCCAAAAAGCGAAAGTCTGCTCTAAGCTGCAAAACTACTTTTTTCAAGTTTATTTCTGACTAGGACTCATCACTCTGTGTCATTTCAACAATCTGTTCCACATTGCGTACCGTCATAGTGCACAAAACCAGCTGGCAAATCAATATCGTCTTCATCATGCCCGCCTCCATTGTCCATATTGAAATCATCAACAGCTTCATTCTTGCTATCATTTAATTTTTCTTGACGTTGTTTCTTACTCATCATAATGGTTTGAAATGATTCAAATATTAGATCTGGAAAACTACTCGGACAAGACAAATCATTCATTTTAACTAATTTTCTTGCTAATTTTATTTCAGTACTTTGTTTTTCTCTTGAACGTAACGTTATTCGTTTCATTGACGTTTCTTTTGATCTAACACCAAGTATGCGGCTGATTGAACAATCCATGAAGAAATCACATTTTTCGTTAGCTCGACGTCTACTCGAAATACTCCTTTGACTTTCACCACTATCAAATCGTAAACGACGTTTTATTGCCGTTGCTGGTGCTTGAGCTTGCTGATGAATGACTTGTCTTAAATTACCCTCAATAAGATTTTGATATTTCCATACATTAGGTCCAGCAAATAATTTGAGTTTCGATGCATCAAAAAAACTATATTCTTGATCGCCTTTTAACTTTAACAGATAAGGCAATTGATCGACAAATGACGTTGAACTCAGTACTGATTTTGATAATTGATCATCGTTAATGAAGTGAGTTGGTATAGTTGGAGGATGAGGCATATGTGGTATTTCATCGCCGAATAACTGTGGAAAATCGCCATTTATCTAAGTCAAAAAAGCATAATTCGATAAAAATAAATGCAGAAAATAAATTCAGATAATATCATATGAACTACTACATTTCTATTTTTCTTCTATTTTTAACGAACAAACTTAGAACGGAAAAAGAACCCTTTCGCAGAGAAAACTGTATATGACTTTTCCATCGTACAAAAGTTGTCTGCATCTTTTTCACTACATTTAATTATAGATGAGTGAAAATCTCTGCCTTAAAAGAGAACTAACGATACACAGTTCTACATTCCTTTTCTATCAACTTACTTGTAACGAATGTGACGATTGACCTTCGCCATGATTTGTTGATGGATCTTGTCGCACATCAGAAAGTGGAGCATCCATAAATACGTCATGTGAATTTGACTCTTCATCATAAAATCCATTTTCATGATCAATATCATTGTTATCATCAACACCTATATCTTCCCTATCGTCACCAAATCGAGAATCTGCCACTAACGAACTTTCATGGATTGTATTGATAAAAGAATCTGTTCGATTTTCGTTAAATGTAAAATCACGTAATTTTTGTGTTCCTAATGTATGTTCAATGTTTTCATACGGTTTAATTATATCTCTTAAGCATTTCAAATCATTTTTATACTCCAAAGATGCTTCCCAACGATTTGTCATTTTTTTTTCGTCTTGCTCATTTAAAATCGGATTTGAAAAGCCTTCAATTGTTGAATAATCACCTGTGGAATACATATGTGCAACAAATTCTTTATGAATTGAATTTTGTTCCGTTGCATTTGGGCGACACAAAGACGTTGTTTGTAATGGACGAAAATGAAACTCATCAGCTAAAGTTATTTTTGATAAATCAGTGACAATAATTTTAGCGGTATTTTTACGGCGAGTAGGTTTTTGCTTCGTTGGTTGAATATTTTCTTGATTTTCGTTAATCTCACTATTGTCATCGTCAATACCTGGTAATTTACGCTGTTCATTTGTTTCATCCGTTGTTAACATATCACCACTTAATTTTTGTGTTTCATTATGTAAAGCGTCCACACGACACGCATAAATTTTTGCACTTGTATCAATAACATTACCAGCTTTAACAAAATTTGGTCCCATTTCATTTTTTTTATTTTCTGATGCCATATTATTTAATATTTGTGGAAGATATTCGATAAAACGAAATTCAAACGCATTTTTTGCTGTTATTTTTCCTTGGGCACTTAATTCAGCTGTTTTTTGATATAATGCTACAAGTTCAGACGATGATTTTTGTGGCTCTTCTATATCGATATTGAAACTTGTGTTAAACAAACGTGATTGACGACGATCATTACCACTTGTAGTAGTCGATAGTGTTAATCTAGAATTTTGTGATGATTCATCGAGATGGATTCGTGTTGATCGACGACTGGCATGTAATGATCTTAATAGTGGAAATAAACATAGAGAGAGGGTATAGTGAACAAGGACGTTTTTTTTACATACCTGCGTCCAGCCTGTATAGGTGGTGGATGTGCAACAATAGTAGACATGATTTATTTTTTCTAAAACAAACGTAAGTAGTAATTATCAGAATACATTAGAAAAGTAAATCAGAGAGACGCTGAATGTTCGACATAAGTACAGCATCAAGAAAATGATACTGGATACATCGTTAATTTTTATGATAGTAGGCTGAATTAAGCCAAGAAATAAAAGAAGCTAACACAGTACAGTCTTAATATCTACTGTACATGCATTATACTATAATCGGTGAATTTGTTCAATATTCTATGTAAATTGTTATCGATTATTATATTTTTTTAAATTTTTTGTTTTATTCCACTGAAGAAGATTGCACATGCAAACGAAACGTCTAGATGAGCGTTATTGAATAAAAGTATATTACAAAGATAAAGTAGTTCAACAATTTTAATAAGTTTATTCTGACTTTGTATTTAAATCAAATTTTATTTTTATCATAATCACAATTATTACTTATGAGAAAGTTCATAATCAGTGCACTAAGCTTTTAGTAAATGGGAAATATGTTATCATAACAGAAACAAAAGAGTATTAATTTTCATACTTTATTTACTTCTACTCTTAAAATTCAATTCCTTCTGCTTTTTCATTTTCATCTATGTAATCGTACACAACGTTTAAGTTTTGAGAAGTAAAAGACAAAAATAAAAACAGAAAATTTCTAGCTTTGACTCCTATGGAGAGGGAACGAAAATTAAGTTGTTTCGAATCAGAGTTGTCAGCTCGAAGTCTTATATATAGGAACAGAAACACATCAAATTGGAAAAGGACGAGATCTATTTTTTTGTAAAAATCAACATAGTAACGAAAGACTCCAAATTGTTTGGTAAGAGTCTTACATCTATTTTTTTTATTCATATTGTTTTTTAAAGAAGCAAGATTTATATAAATGCAGCCATAATTTGCTAGTATGTTCTCACAGTTAGTATTCTAAATATGAGAATAGATAGCTCTAATGTCTACAGAATTAAAATTAAATAAAAACACTTCACAGTAAGCTATTTTTACAACAAAATGCTTCGAAGATTTGTTAAATTAACTTTATTCCTAGTGGTTTCTTTTATGCTTTATATATCAATTTACATAGTTTGATAATTGTTACTATACGGAATATTATTATTTATTCAATTCATTTAAATTTATTTACGAAAGATGAGAAAGAGGGAGAGCAGTGAGAATAACTGACAAATGTAGCTAAATCCACTGGCAGGACACTTCGTCCTTTCATATTCTTCAAAAAAGTACGTAGAAATCATATACCTACGATGAGTTATTTTCAAAACGTGAGCTTTACGTTTAAATTTTTTCTTGTGGAACTTTGTTTTTGAATTTTAATCATAATTCCATGAATGTGCAAAGAGCATAAAACATGTGCTCAGTACTAATCGTAGTAATTAATAAAAGGAACTAAAATGAATTAAAATAATATAAATTATTTTGTTTCGAAATTGTGTTTCTATAGATCATATTAGGTATGATTTTAAGCACATCGTCGAGATTAAAGTAATTCAAAATCCTCCGACATCAAAAAGAAATTTTACAGATTATCGAGAAACATTGGTCATTATTCACCTCGACATCATGTCAAAATAATTGAAAATAGAGCTGTTTTTAATAACATAGGTGGATCTATGTCTAACATTTGAGTTGATCTTATTTATTTTTATTTCGATAAGATAATGAAGAATCACTATTCAAAATTTGAAGGGCTCACTGTTGTTTACTATTTCATCTAATTAAAACGCTAAACTTTTATAATAAATTAGAAAGATCCAAATAGAGAACGAAAGACTTCGGCGCACAACGTTACATTATGCACAATCATTAGAAAGGAGATTATGAGAGCTTTTTGTACCACTAGTGAACAACAGCATCTTTTGCACCAGTGAACAACAGTAGATTTTGAAATAAACAAAAACACAAAAAAAATTCCCATTTATGATAGCTATTGCAACGGAAAATGGGACTGGGGCTGTCTTTGTCCGCCGTAAAATTTCGAGAACCAATCATGATTATCTACTGTGTACTGCAATATTAATGCACTTTATTCGAAACATCAAATTCTATTGACAGAGAGGCATTGTCTGGACAACGAGGAGTAAGTGGCTTCTTGCACCAATAAAAATGATCGATTATACATCAAATGTCACATCAGCAATCGAAAAAAAGAATAAATGTGAATCGGTACTATCAATAGTACTGATAGAAAAGTTCTGTACTGAGTAAAGGATGTGATAGTGACACCTTTTTTTCATTTCTTGCTCCAACATTCTTTTGTTTTTTTTCCCGCACAGAAAAGTAAATCGGTCTTTCTATGATTGTAATTTCTTCGGAATAATGCGTATGTTTATTAGCATAGCCATTTTTCTTTTAAGATATCCAGTAATGTCTGCATTTCCAGCGGATCCTGAATTAGACGATTTTTTATCAAAAGTCGATGAAATACGTACGTAAAACAAGCCACTTGTTTTAAAAAGATTATTTTGCTTAAATTAACGATTTCTTTCCAAGTGTCAAAATTTTATGTATTCATCAGATGGTACGTTGTGATGAACTGAATGTTTTCTCTTTTTTTAATTTAGAAAATATTGTAAAAGACTTGAGTTCGAATGATGAACGTGCAGTGAAGACAGCAATGGAACGATCTGATGTAATAATAAATGCAAACAACAATACCAAACAGGGTGTTAATCGAACATTGATTAATAAAAGTGTCAATGCTAGTACTACTTCGACAATTCCACAAGGTATGTTCACACTTATATATCATTCTTTCTATGTTTCTATCATCAGCTGAGTTATTTATTTTTCGTTCTTTAGATGCATTTATGAAATCTATTGAAGAAGATGCACGACAACGTGGTGAAGATCGAAAAAAAAGACGAAAATTAGCTGATGAAAGTAAAATAAAAGGAAATGATGCATTTAAGAGCGGAAAATATGAACAAGCTATTGGCTACTATACTGAAGTTAGTATGAGTTTGGTTTAACAAAAAAACAACAATTAATTAATTATTTTTTTTGGTTTGCAGGGAATTCAACTATTGAAAGATTACGATGTGCTTTACACAAATCGTGCACAAGCATTTATAAAACTTGAAAAGTACAAAGAGGCTATTGACGATTGTGATTGGGCATTGAAAGTAATATTTTTCTATTTATATTATAAAAAAATATCACATAATATTATATTGATACTTCAGATAAAACAAAATTTTATCAAAGCGCTGACAATTAAAGGAAAATGTTATATGTTATTAAAACAATTTGATAATGCTTTGGAACAATTTAATCAAGCAAAAAAAATTGCAATAACAAACTATGATTCAGATACAAAACGTATTATTGAACAAGGCTCGTGAGTTGAATATGTAAGGTCTATTCGTGTTATTTAATTAACCGAAAATATTTTATTTATAGATTATATTAGTGAATTAGAACGTCAAAAATTAATAAATAAACGTGAACAAGAGGCCCATGTATTTTTACAAAATGAAGATCCATCAACATCATGGAGTATAGCGAGTATCTTAAAGAAACTATTTGAAACAAATAATTCATTGTTGTATTATTGTGGTGGAATTCAATTATTAAATGAAATTATCATTGATGGTATATTAATAATTCTAAGTTACAAATCTAATCATTTACTTATTTACTTAAACAATTTTTCATCTTAAATTCGATTTTTATACGATTGAGAAAGAGTCCTATAATAATTGAATTTTTATTTTCATTCTAAAGTCTTGTGTCATAGTAGCATCTATTTTATCTTGTTATTTTAGAAACAACAAGAACAACCTTTCGTGTAAATAATGGGTTTCAATTATTTTATGAGCATCCTATTATAAAACAAATGTTTCTTTTGACCGATACCATGACGATTGACGAAGAAAATTTATTAAACTCATTACTTAATTTAATGGGTATTGTATCAAAGGATGATGGTAAGAGATTTTTAAATTTATATCCTTCGATTTTAACTCATATATGTAAAATAAATTTTTCTTTAGATGAAAATGGTCGTCTATGTTTAGAAACTGAAGGCATTACATCGTTTTTGAATGATTTATTATTTGTTAAAAAGAATTGTTCAGTCAGCATTATTCAATCTTGTTTACTATTTCTTGTTGAAATTTCTTTAAGCAAAGTCTGTCGTACATTATTTCTACAAAAATTTTCTTTAGAAAAGTAAAATTGAACTGTTAATTTAACGAATTTGTATATGTTGCTTTTACTTCATTAGAGTTGTACCGAAAATTTGTGGTCTAATCAGTGCATCATTCTCAAACGATATTCAACAGAATGCAGCACGATTTCTAAGTAATCTTGCTTTCGAGACAAGGTCTGTGTCTTTTTTCTACTGTCACATCAAAAATTAAATTTAATGTTTTTTTTTAGATTCAAACAATTTATTATTGATGCAAAAGAGAAACAACAATATATTGAACAATTTCAGTCATTATTGGTAAGATTAGATCACTGTTTTTACATGCAATACTCTACAAAGATTAGAACATCGTTTTAGCACAATCATGTGAACTACTAAAAGAAACTTGAAATTTTGTCTGGATAGAGTTTGCACAATGTGTTGATAGTCCAAATAGTTTTAACTAATTTGAATGTATAACTCTCGATATTTTATTTTTATTTTATTAACTTATAAAATAGATAATCAGTTTTTTCTTTAACCGTTTCGTCAATGGTATAATGTTAAGGTATTAGCTGAATTACAAAAAAGCATTTTACCCGCTACAGCCATCGTTACCATTTACAAAACAATAATCATAACGCGGCTTAGGAACAATCTTTTGACTTACTAGTCTTTAATGTTTAGGAAGTATACAAACAGAGTCTCTATGTTAAGTACCAGATGAAGTGAGATTTGAGTAAAATATGCACAGATTTAGAAAAGATGCAGTGCATATTAACAACTGTATTGTAAAAGAAAGAAAGTTTTATTGGACATGCACTCGTACCGGTGAATACAGGTTTTGTTCGAAACTCTTAGGTTTTCGTTTCATATGATGATATGATCTTTTAATCAATGTTTATTGTAGACAGTGATTCACTCAATGTGTATTTGAACAAAAGACAAGAAGCATCAGGACAAATGTCTTTCGTTATACCATCAAAAAGGACACTATATAAACATAACCCTGTGCATTGAAGTTAAACCCAAACTTAGTATGAACTATGCTATTAACTAGTAATGCATAGCCGTTGTTGACTATATTTCTGGTAAAGTCAATCAATATCAACCACTTATACTTGAAATTTGTAGAATCAAGAGAAAATTATCTTGTAAATACTTTTTTCTTCAGACATCAATTCATATTGACGAAGAAGCACGAACATTATTACTATCTGTTCTGACAAATTTAAGTTCCGACAAAAATCTACGCAAATTATTTATTAATACTCCTGTAGTATTCACATACATTGTTAATTTATTGGTAATAGTAATTCTTAATTTCTTTTACATAAAGTTGATGAAAATTTGCTATTCTCATAATAGGATCAATGCAAACTTATCGAACGTCAAACAAATATACTTGCATTAGCAAACAACTTGTCGGTTGATCAAAGTGAAGCATTAACGTCTGTACATCAAATGGTGAGTAAGTAACAGCAACAGCAGTACTGTTACAAATAAAGATTGTAATCCTGTTTTCTGATGAAGATAAACGTATCTTTTTGTGTTATGATTTCTCGTTATAAGAAACATACTTCTTTCTATTAATAGTTATGTGATTGTGCAATGAAGTTATTGAAAACATCTGAACATCAACAACGTTCGTTAACACTGTTGGGGAATGTAGCACTAAATTGTAAAGAATCGATACAGTATATGGTGGATCGTGGTATTATTTCAAGAATAAATGAAATTTTTCAAGTAAACTATATAGTAAATAATAATTCTGTTTAATTTTGATCTTAGCATGTTTAACTTTCTTCAGTGTCATAACAATTTAACGGAAGATATGTCGCGTGCAACAATGCGTTTACTAGCCTTATGTACTCAAACAAACGACGATGCTCAGAAACTGATAGCAAATGAAAACAAAAGTGAGTATTAAATTTTATCTTATGCTTTCATCTATGTTACAATGATTTGGTTTTTAAAAAGTTCAACATGTTACATATTATTTTAGCACTATTGTTCATCTACCGTAGTCTTTTTAATGGTACAAATTTTAATTTAATTGGAAATGCAGCATTGATTTTTGGTTACATTGCTCACATACCTTCTGTTGTCAGTTACTTTTATTCAACTGAGAATTTAATGAAAAATTTATTAACACTAATTCAAGATTTAACAAATAATGACTCGAAAAAGAATGTTGGAATATTTATAACGAAGTTGGTGAAGAACGACGAAAGGTTTGTACAGAATAAATAAAATCAACCATGTCAATTTAAACATTTATTTTTATCGATTTAGGCTCCTTTTGGAATTTCGAAATCTAAATGGTACTGAGATACTTGTTTCATCATTAAAAAATATTCAATTGTAATAGCGTTAAAAGACAAGAAATATTATCATTTTTCGTTATAGCAATGCGCACTTGTATTTCTTTATTAAAAATAAATACTTTATGCATGTTTTATAAGTATTAGGGTTCAATGAAAAGCTGATATAGTTTCAATGGAATAAGTTTTTCTAGAATTCGTATTTCCATCTCGTGTGGTGAGAATCATTGATAGGAATCTTATGGAAACCGCTTTTTTTAAAAAACAGTGAACAAATGATAGATTTTAGCATTGAGCTTAGATGAACTGTTGTTCGCGACGTCTTTCTTTTCAAAAACTGAACTCACAGAAAGGTTGAGTCTTTCTACGAATGGAAGTTCAGATCTTCTGCTAAACAAGAATGTTTTTGCATAATCGATTGCGTAAACTTCATGAAAAAATTTTTTTTTGCAATCAACATTAATCAGCAACCTTTTTTGGCGTTTATTTCCATCTTCTGACAATTTAAAATTTCTTTGCATGTCAGAACTAAGATTGCTGCGAAGAATCAGTATGCTTAAGCGCATTTGTTCTATTTCAAAAAGGAATGATCAATCAACACAAATTAACTTTATAACTATAACAAGTTATTTCGAAAATAAGAAAAGAAAACAAGACATAACATGGCATAAGAAAAACGAACTAGAATATTACTATGCTTTATTGGTATTTGATAACTTTGGACTACTTTTTATAGTTGCATCAAATCCTCCTGTACTATTTGGCAATGATAGTTGTTCTTGATCATCCATGTTTATACATGGCCAATTTTGAGCCCATTTAACGAGGTAATCAAGATTTCTTTGATAATCATTTTCATCATTATTTCGCAATTGACGTACAATATCTTCTTCAAATGATTCGTATGCTTCATCTAAACAAACTTGAAATATCTCTGATTGTATGTTTTGATCGATTTTCTTTGCTGAATAATTTCGTTGTTCTAAACGTTGATGTAAAATATCATTATCTGTACGTAATACAAAAACACCTTGAATTTGACCATCATCCGGTATGATTCCTAGCACAATAAGATGAAATATTTACAGTGCACGAAACATGTTTCGTCGCTTTACCTGCACTATGATAATCAATAACTAGTCCAGATGGTTTTAGTCGAAAATATTTTTCTTCTAGAAAATCTTGTACACGTTCATCATCTAATATCTGACATTCATTATCATCATCATATTCAATAAAGTAATTTTTTTGTTGAGCTACTTCATTGATGTTTACATATCGCAATTCTGGACATTTTTGGCACAAATCTTGACATAAACGGGATTTACCAACTCCTAAACTCTTAGAAACATGGTTTAGTGTTCAAATCGATGAGCTAAATTTTATGTTTCAAAAAAACTCACCAGGTGTACCACAAATGATAATATTCGGTCGATCCATAGCAGGAAAATTAACAAAATATTATCTATAGTAAAACATGAAAAAAGTAAAGTGAACATTGCTTAAGATCTCTTTTAGTTTGTACGATGCATCGGCTATTTGAAGATTTTTCTACTACATTGGTATATATTCAGATAGATTGTATGTCAACATAGGAAACACCTTATCTCACTTCAGTTCAAAATGTACTCATTTGGGTTATTTCAATTCGTATTTATTCAATTCAATTCAATTTTTCTTTTAAGGTGCTTAAATGGAAAACGATGTAGATATACAGTTGAATACTTCGTCATTACATTTTAGCAGAATAAGATGTTACGATTTTCTCTATGTTTTTTTATATCAGCTTTTTCCGATTTTGAGCAATCTCATCTGGATTATGTCAGTTGGCAACTGTAGCCCAAACTTACTGAAGCTAAAATTCCAGCGATTGTAGGTAAAAAGTGGATGTGAGTATTACTTACACAATTGTCTTGTTTAGGCGCTGTAGTCAACGTTCTCCACGTAGAAACTGCCGCTGTTTTGACCGAAACTCATCTCTCCTTTTCAGAAGTTATTTTTATTGTTGAGAATATAGAATTTGTAATTTTGAACTTATAAAGAAGTAAAGGTAGGGGAATCAGAGCTTGTGATAATTATGGTGCTATGGTGATGTTTAGGAAAATGGCAGTCTTCCATTTTGACCAGCTGATAATTAGCCATGCACCGATTGCAATTGTGCACTTTTTCACAAAAGGTTTTTTTCAACAAAAATTGATTCTCTAAAATTTTTCTAACAACTAAGTTTTGTAGAGCAAACATTTTTCTGCAGGATGATCTACGGGAGTGTTTCCGTTTTGATCCACCACTTATTATAAAAAAAAGATTTCTTAAAAGTTCTCTGATCGGTTATAGCCGAGGGCTTTTCATCGAAAAGCGAGTGTGGTAGAAATAGAAAACATGCTCTATCTAGCTCATCTTGTAGAAAAATGTTTGCTCTACAAAAGACAGTTGTTAGAAAAATTTAAATATGTGTACTTTTCATGCAATCCGTTTCAGAAACACAGTGAAATTTATCGGTTATAATCGGTGATAATGTGCACAAATAAATCTTGTTTTGATCTTGTGGGTCTTGAATACTTCAGTCATGGCAATATTTGTACTTAAATGATCTATAGATTGGATTCTATAAAAACACTTGTGATGCTGTCTGTTTTGACAGGAAAGGTACGAGATATTTCATTCAAATAGCGGACAAAAGTCTAACTTACGTTTCAATATTTTTGTTCAATTTCATATGAAATATTATAAAAAAAAAATAGAAGTTATGGATGCAATATAGAATTTTATCATATATATTTTATTAGACAAATATGTCAAAAATATGTTTTAGTTTTAAATTTGAATTTTTCATCAAGAGAGGGCATAAGAGTTTCAAGAATTTAAAAATCTTTTTCAATTGCAAAAAGAGTGTGAAAAATTGAACAAAACTAAGTTATTTATATTTCCGTAGAATAAAACTACTTCCTTTAATAAAGAGTTGTATAAACAAGTGATTGTATAATTTTGTACTATAAAGTTATATGTCTTTTGTGTTTGTTCATTACCTATAAATTTCCCTAAAGCGTCACTTGTGTATTATGTTTTTTTAAGCCGATCTATAACTTTGCAACAGGATAAACGACACACCTGCACATTACCAACATGTCAGTAATACTCAAAGAGAACAAGTCCGAAAACTTTTTTTTTAGACATTTATATTTCTTATATATCATGTATGGTAGCAAAACAAAACAGTGAAGAAAAGTTAACAGATACTTTACGAGGAGTTCGAATTATTCTTTCTCCTACAAAAGAAATGTTTTCAGAGTCTTTCTAAAAAAATTTGCTGGTAATTTTTCGGATATGCTGAAAAATGTTAAAAAGAAAAATATTAAATGATTAATATTAAAAATCAAATAAATATTTTTCTATCTGAACTAATAAATATTTTTCTTATTCTAAGATAGCAAAATATTTAATTATTTTAAAATAAAGGAAAAATATTTAAATAAAGAAAAATATTGAACAGGCTAATATTTAAATAAGACAAAAAAAAATATTTAATTGATTTTTAATATTAGTCGTTTAATATTTTTCTTTTTAACATTAGCTACCTGACTCCTCAAGAATTTCACTGGAAAATGCCGACAACGTTTCACTTCTCAACAATCTTAGAGATCAGAAACAAAAATTGTTAATACCTCTGCTGCACGTCTCTTGTTTTTAATTAATTATGGTTACACGTATGAGGGTAAAAAAAGCGCATTATTTTTAAAATATTATTAGTTTTCTGAGATTTCTATAACAGTGGACAACTGGTTTAATACAAAAAAAGAATCTATTAATAAAACAAAGACATTTCCATCTCAATACATTCATATGTTGACCTTCGAGGTTATTGAAATAGAAAAGTAAAATGCTTATAGTTTTTCAACATTTTAAAGTTATTTTGTGCTCAAGTAAGTTCAATAGAATTTTTTTCATCTTTTATATAAAAACAAATAATTTTACTATGTACCAATATTTTGTTTCTTTTTGAAATGATTCTGCATCCAAAAAGTTTACTATATTCATTTTTTTTTCTTTCTCTTATATATATCCTTTACTACTTACTAAACATGTAAAACATAAAAAATTTCATTTTCAAAACGTACACATATAGATTGTTTATTTAATGCTCAGCACTATTCTAAAACAACATTTTGTTCAAATGTATCATATATCATTCTGCTTGAGATAAAAAGTTGTAAAAAAAGAGCAAATTACTTTATATCCATCTAATTTGGACATGCTTGAGAAATGAATATGTATAGATGACTGAAAACAGATATAGTCTCAAGTATTTTAATACAATATTTTCATTGTGTGAACGTGTATCAACGGTAGATATTTATTGTTCAACTGTTAATAAAAGATACGTTGTTTGAGGCTTTGTTGCCGTGATTATATTACACACTTTTATTTTAGATTAATAAATGTAACAGCTGTTTAATGATATAATGTTTCCGAAGGCTGAGAATGAGCTATTATGTTTGATTATACTCATATTTCTCTAATTCAAAATCCAATTAAATATAAAAAGAATGTTAAATAATGATAGCTCTGATTCTGATCAAACAAGTAACTACAACCTCAAAGAAGAGATTAATAATGGTAACGAACAAGAAAGATCAATAGCAGGAAGTAGAATGAAATACGAAACGAACAGTAGTAGTGATAGTAATAAAAATCTACAACAATCTGATAATGATACTTTAGAAGGACCCAGTGATAATGACCTTAGTGGCAATGACAATCAAGGAAACAAGAATATAAAACAATATCAGAGCTCATTATTTAACAGAAAGAGAGACAATACACATAACTTAAACGAAAGACAACAGCATTATTATTCTAGTCAACAACTGAAGAGACAAAGTGATGATTCGTTACTTGATGCCATCGAAAGTTTTGAGCCACTTAGTACAAGAAAAACAGCATCAATCACTCGTGGTGAAGCAACGTTACTGGATATAATGGAAACGCCGAATCGTGGAAAAGAAGTATGACTGAGGTTTTTCGTGATTCCATTAGGATGCTTCCTTTTATCCTATTCATCTAACATCTAATATATTTTAGTATCTTATGGATACAGATAATGGGCGAAACGTTGGTGAAAACGAATATGATAAATTGAATCGATCCAAACCGGTTAATCCATCTGTAGAAAAAATAAGTAATAAAGATGATCTATCAACACAGAACATTCACAATTTCAATCTCTACCATATTTAGACACAAGTTTTGTATCAAATCCAGTTCTCTTTCCAGAAAATATGCAATCATCATCACCATGGGTATTAACCAGATTGCTCTCAACTACTGGTACTCCTCAACAAATTAGACGAACTCCAATGAAGAAACAACAGCGGTCAAAAATTCCTGTCCGATCTGCGTCTTCATCGCAATCAAGATCAAGATCTATTTCTCATAGTCCAGCCACACGAAAAAGAACGATTAATAATGTAGTTGATATCAACGGGTATGCTTTTAATGAATCGTTAGGTATTTAGATTTTTAGGGTGTCTATTTAAGATAAGGATAAAAAGCTAGATCAGATTGTTTGATAGAGTTTAAGACAGATGTCATACACACATTTATAGTGTTTATCTAATAAAACGGTCTTTTTCAGACATCAAACTTCACTCACGTCAAAAATACCTGTTCGGATCAAAACAGAACAATCACAACATACTGAAAAAGCATCAGCAGCAAATTATCCGCCCGTTACTGAAAAAGGTGCTTTTCGTCTGTTCACATCGAACGAAAACTTACATAGTGAATCCGACGTCTTAAGTGTATTTGAAAGAGGCAAAGCTTATTACAATCAGCAAGACCCTCCTACCACAACTTCACCATTTGTTCCTATTAATTCTGTTAATCAACAAAAAATAGCACCAGAAGCCAAACAATCAAATGCTTCTACAAAACATCGTCTAATAACAAGAAACGCTATATCTGCTGATGGGCATTATAAATCAAAAACTGCCACCGCTACCACTAATTTAACATCAGCGATCGATCCAGGACGTTTAACAAGTCAACAATATTTGATAGAGGATAGCGATGATACGTCGAGCATTGAAACTAAATCGAAAGCCGAATTGGCAACACAATTAAAAGAAGAAAAACGACATTATAAAAAGACTGCAACTATACTAAACCAGTTACACGAAAACTATGGTCAGTTACTAGAAAAATATGCTCAAGCTGAAAACACCATAGACCAACTGCGTTTTCAACCAAAACTGTATGATAATAGTACACCACCAGCAAATGTAATCGAGGTATGTGACGTATACAACGATGCTTAAGTAAACAGGATTATTAAAACCTAGTATATTTGCCCACTGTATGCTACTTAGATCCTCTTCTAAGATATCATTATTATTGTATCCTGATGGCGTTTTTTCTTCTGGGAGCTATGGTAAAAATGCATATACTGATGGAGGCCAATTTTCAAAATTCGCTATGTTTCTCAATAAACTTCTACACAAACTTTGGCTGCATGATAAACGGCAGGTACCAAGAAAAAATTAAAACAATGCCTGGATTATGTTCTGAATTTTCTGTCTATTTTAACCTTCACTTGCTGTCCACCCACAAACTGAGCAAAAGTGTACGCTGGTCTCATTTTGTTCCTAACATCATCTATAAAATTCTGAATCCTGAATTATTTTGGGCAGAAGGTATATATGCTGATGAGACCTTTAAATCGTTACTTTGATTTCTATTGAAGGGCTCAATACATTTCATACACCAACAAAAATACCATACACTTTCATCTAAATTAACTTCTAATAGCATTACACCATCATCTACTCGACAAGTAACATCGTCTACAACCACAACAACCGCAAAAGCTGGTATGTATTGTTCATGCACCAGATGTTTCAGATATGTTGGTACATAACTACAATGAATATTATGTAAGTTATGTGTTAGTAATGTTTGATACGCATTACTAGGAATTATGTTTTCTTTAAACAATACTTAAAGTCAGTCATCTCGTAGTTTCGTTATGCTGCTCATCAGACCCCTTCCACACAGCTTTTCTCAACATTAAATGATCTGATAGTTGAGAAGATGTGACTAAGCTCATTAAATAGAGCATCAAAAGCTACACAAAGGTAACTACTTCGTTGAAAAATGTGTGACATTTCAGTTTTCTAGATGCTCCTATGTCATTACAATCGTCAAAACATCTCTGATTGTATTGAGATTAAGTCGTCCATTTCAGTCATTTTTTACGATTATTGGCGATTTTTTTGTTAGCAAAAATAATAGACTAGTCCTCGTTCCGATTGATTCTTTTATTTTTTAAGATGTTTGCTTATGAGCGGGTGCTGGCTAAGAGCTTACTATTTATCGATTCGAATAGCTATTATAAGTCACAAATAAGGAGAAAATAATTTGTGGTTTTATCAACTAGCATACTAATTAAATACTACCGTAAACTGCAAACAAAACGGTGAATAAAAAAGAATGCTTTACGATTTATCTATGAAATCGTAATTTGAGATGAAAATGAAACTAAAAAAAGTTAATTTTGTTAGCGAAAAATCGTATCACTAGCTATTTCGTTATTTTTGTCTGTGTTTAATTAACTCGAAAATTTTAACTCTTCCTAGAAAATACTCAACAACGACTAGCAAAGTTACATTTTCCCTCGGATCAGTTTTTTCAGAAGTTCACTTGAAATCCTGTCTCTTAACTTATGTATACAGAAAGTTTAGAAAACAGTAAACTATGAGATGTGGTTGATGCTAAATATGAAAAGAGATCAAATGGTGTTTATTTTACAGCAGAGTTTCAAGTTTTTAAGGGGATCACATGGTTTTGAATTTTGTTTTGATTTGTTCGAATGAGCTCCAAGAAACCCCAAACTATCGTGGATCTTGCAACGTTGCTTCGCCACTGCACTACTGACTGATCTTTTGACTGATGCTGTTTTTCTTGTACTGGGTGGCAGAGCTCCGTATGGACTCAAAATTCTGAGTCTAGTCCACTCCAGTCCGAATCGCAGGACTCCAAAAAGATAATTTTCTTCCCTGTTTTTTACTGATTTTTTCTTGATTCAAGTGAATCTAAAATCTTTTTTCGAGTCCAATCCAGTCTGTACGAAGCCCTGCTTGGTGACTCAAAACTCTCAACAGCATCAAGTAACGGATCATCACGTTGTCTCTTCAGTTGTTGCCTAGAATAATAATGCTGTTGTCTTTCGTTTGGGTTATGTGTATTGTCTCTCTTTCTGTTAAATAATGAGCTCTGATATTGTTTTATATTCTTGTTTCCTTGATTGTCGTTACCACTACGTTCATTAGAAGATATCATGCAATTTTTCAGAAAACGTTGTTAGGAAACCTCTGAATAACTACTGATGTATGACAAGCATAGTCACATTTTTCCCTATTCTCAGGCTAAATTGTCATATTATAAGATCTTATGTGACAATTTTGTATGATCATACAGAAAAATCACAAGATATTACAAGTTTTTATTAGAACTCGCAGGATTATAATCTTGGCTCATCCCAGGGGACTCATTTAAAAAAAGTTTTCTTTTATTAATATTTTATTGGAAATTGTTGATTTGTCTAGTAACAAACAAGATGTTGAGAGATCTTGTCATGAAACTATATAGAACACCGACAAATCTTGCAAGATTTCACTTGGGAATGTGTTTGAGATTTAATTTGTGATACATATCGTTTCCTCATCATTTGAGAAAGTAACTGGCGATGTGAAACCAAACAAATTTCCAAGTACAATAGAGAAGAGATAAGATTGCACTAACAAAATAAAATATTTGCTTTCATAATGTGGTACAAAATCACCTTTTAGTGTTTTGTCCTTAAAGTAAGCTTAACTCGATTATGTTTGTTGCAAAAAACTCAACAATATAAATTGAATCTACTTATTTTGAGTGCTTGACAGACTTTGAAGTAGTAGCTTTTCAAAAATAATTAAAATACTAAACATACATGAGTATGCATTTTAAATTGAACATAACTGAAAAAATGCTTTTCTTCTTATTCTTTTCATATTAAAAAATGTGTTAATTTTATTCGATTAAACATTTAAAGACCTGGAATTATCGTGTCTTCGCATTAAATAAGTAAACTTCGGGTATATTTTTTTTATTTCATTGTTGATTATTTTTATGTTTCTAACCACACGACATGAAAAAGAAATTGAAATTTTTGACGTTTAATGCGTCTAGTCATCAAGGACAGATTAAATGAATTTTTTCCTCTTTCAACGATCTCAGCATGTGTTGTGGTATCATTCAAAAATAATTTTCTGATTTAAGAAGTCAATCAATATTTTTGATATCTCAGGATAGAATTCTGAGTGCACTGTTTATTCTTATTGGAGAAAGCAGTTATTTTCCTTGTCATTATAAAAATAATAATTAGCTCTAAATAATAGTTGCAAGACTATATAGATTTGTCTTGCAGGAAACATTCAAAACGAGCTAATATTATTAACTTAAATACTGTGAGTACATTTTTAATGCGAAATGGGTAAATAAGGGTAGGTTGTTGATAGTTTGAAGGATGCAATTTGGCTCACTTAGGAGTTTCTTCAGTTTATCTCATATAATAATGAGATCACCTAAATAATTTGCAGTTGTAATATTATGCGTTTGAATTCATACTTTAGAGAGTGTCACAAGAAAACCTGTCGGTTATAATAAATGTTGTTGTTTTTTACGATGGAAGCCACAATTGACAGTTTTGACATACCATTTACACGTTTGATTTCGAGTCATTCCCTACTCTAGTGAATGTACTTGCATGTTGGTACTTGCTCAAGTACCATCGCAAGTTTTGACCAACGTTCTTGCGCTTTATCACAAGTAAATCAACTATTTGCCAAGAAAATCAAGTACTTGAATTACTTTATCTTTTTGTCAAGTCCTTAGCCAAGCACTTGCCTAAGTAACCTCCAAATGCCTGTGGGAGGTTCGACAAGTAAATCAAGTACATGGCAAGTGCTTTCAAGCATTTATCAAGTAGTATTTTTTGAAAATACTTGTCAAGTGCTTGTGGAAATTTGCAAGTAAACAAGTACATTCACTAGGGTGTACCTTGAAGTATTCATTGAAATAAAAAGGAAATAATGTTCAATTAAGTAGTTTTTCACTAAAGCTCAGATGGAAGGAATAGATCTGCGAAAGTTGCTTCTCAAAGCACCATAGTTTTTTAGACAGTCCATATCTATGATCTTTCAGTGACATTTCTAGATGAAAATACTGAACGAATAGCGTATGGTCGCCATATACACGTTTTCGGGTATTTTGACCTACTAATCACTATTTTAAAAATTTTACTAAAATTTGATTGTGTTCTGTTGTACATTTGACAATTCTCTATCCACAGAGAATTATAAAACGTCTCAAAGCTGAAATTGGGTCCAAAATCAGATTTCCTGGCTCATGGATTAGGGTCGAATCTGTTATTGCCTTTTTTTTGAATGAGAATGCTTCAGTGGTATGTGATGCCAATTGCGATGAATTCAATGCGAATACAAAATAATCGAAATTATGTTATTTTTCATAGCAATATCATGTTTGAACTGCATCTGGTTGATTTTCTTCTATTCTTGATTAGTGTTAATGAACAGCTTTTGACTTTTATTGTCGTGAGACATTGAACACTTTCAAATATATGTGCTTCTTTCGGTGCCTTCTACACTTCAGTTGTTAGGATCGTTGGATTATGTTTCATCTCGTTTTCCCATCATATTTTTCGATAAGAAAGACTTGCGCTCAATCTTCTTTCTTCACTATCGCTGATATGTGGCTGAAATTGTTCAGTACAAGAACTGATTGCAATTTCAATTTTTCTAACGCAGTAATTTGATTTTATCCAGCGGCGATAACTTGTTGTTGACGACAATGTTTTATCGACACGGATTTTATTCGCATAAACTGTTGGATTCTGTAGTGCACTTGCTTCTGCGATCAATTCTGTGCTGTTATCGCAACTGTTCTTTTCATAGAAATGGTGTCGAATATTGTATAAAATAACCACTCCCTTAGGATCGAAGAGGTTAGATAATTTAACACTAAAACTCAGACGTACAAGATAGGCTAGTTATTAAAAACACCAATATAGACAAGGAAGGGTTGTAAAACATAGCGAGTTGAATAGGTTAGCCGGCTACCTTGATTTGAAGTGAATATTTGAAAAAACGTCAGTTGCTGGGATATTACGTACAACTGTGAGTCCTAAATATTAGAAATGTACAATCATTTGGCACCCGAATCAACTGAGTTTGCAGTAAGTTTGTGAGTTTAATTCCATTAA